CAGCAGCACCGAGCAACCATGTTCGGACAACGTGGTTGTAGAGGTAGGGCTGGAGAGGGATGAAAGCCTTGACAAGCTCGTGGGCATCCCGGACGATCTGGGTGTCAACAACCTCAACACCGGCGATCTTGGTGGTAGGAAGGTCGCTGCGGCACTTCTTGGAGGGAGCGGCAACGGCGGCGCCGGCCACAGCCAAACCAGAAACGAGACCAGTAGAGAACTTCATTTTGAAATTAATTATATACCGAACAACGAATTGTCAACGGAAGAGAACGGCTAAAAGGTTGAATGAATGAATGAATGTGGTGAGAGGGGTGGAGAGAAAAAAAAGTAGGTAACATTCGGGAGGCGTTAGATAGCTTTATATATCCAATTCGCCTCGTAGCTCAGCTCCACGAACTCCCATGCACAATTGCCCTTGAACGGCTCCCAAGGTTTGGGTAATCCTGCATTACGTTTGCGAAATAGGCGTCACAGCAGGGTGGTGTGTGTGTAATTCGCCCAAAATAGCATCTTAGTATCTCTTGTGGATGAGGCTGACTGTCTCTCTGTCTGCAGATTGTGGAGGAACCGAACAATATAGAAGCTTAGTGTAGCTTGGCAAAGACAACTCGACCACAATAGGCCGGATTTCCCAATATTGGAGAGTCCCATGCAGCGCACATGTAACCAAGCCTTGGCTGGGTGGGTGATGGGTACAGTGAATCCTGGGTTAGAGCTGAGACATCCACACGTGTATGGAGTGTCTAGGAAATGAAGCCAAGAAATGCCAAGGTAATCCTACCACCTAGTGTAGTGTGCTTCACTACCTACACTATGTGGATAGGTAGTCAGTGCCCTCTTGAACATCGATATGAGCCTTATGTAGGGCATAGTACTCAGTAGTTTAAGTGAGTAAAGAATGTTGCGGTTTCCGTCTGCGACTCTATCCTACACTCACTCAACTTATCCTGTACGACATATAAAAATCAATCTAGATATTCGATATGAATATAAATCCCGATCCTGACTACAGTGCATACACTACGTAATCTTAGTGACCGGGGCCCCTGAGCCGAAGCCCTGATCGCTGGGTTTACTACCGGCGCTGACATAAGACGCCAAGATCTGCCAAGATCTGAGGCCAAAATAGGGTTAGTGTCACTGGGAAAATATTCCGAGGGATCGTTTACTCTGACTTTGGCATCGTTTCAGAAGCTTCTAAGGAAGAAGCAAGTAATTAGTTAGGCCTGGAGTATCTGCGCAGTTCCAGGTAAGTTCAAGATTTGTCAACAACAGTCGGTAGAGAGACTAAAAGTTGGCCAACCAAGAGTCTAAAAGCGACGGATAATTGACCAAGGCGATCTAAAGCGCCATTACAGAGTAGTGCCAGTGTTAAAGCGGTAAGACCTTCTCTATTTTTGACTACATGCACTACCTATGTATGTACCAAGACTTGCACTACACTAGCGGACTTGATGGAGGTGCGATATCACCACTGCCCGTCACGTCAGCTGCTAACCCAACTATCCGCCAACACGATCTTGTACACTAGTGCAAGAAAGTATAAGTCGGTGTTACCCTCTCTAGGACAGCCGAAAGCACGCCCCCTTTTTCTGGATTTTGCTCTAAAGAGCACGTTCAGTACCTGACAGATAGGTTTTACGTGGTTGCTGTGTTCAGTAAAATATACCTAGTCAGGTATTTATTGGCATGCTAGCTGGTTGCCACTGGGTCAGATATATCTCGTTTTTTGATAATTGTATACCTATGTAGAAAACCCCCCCGCAAACCCGCGATTGACCCTCCTCGCCGCAAGCCCTGCCTACTATGTACATAGTACGGCACGCATAACCAGGCCTAATTTAAGTAAGTAGGGGCTGTGGGGTTATGAACATGGAGATGCCGGTAGTGTACTCCTTATTCTAGGTACCTGTATTTCATATTGGGTGTTCTGAGATAATAACATACTGAACCTAGAATATATTTTGCATCACGCCTTGCTTCTTAAGCACACCGGGAGGATTTGCGCGCTTGCTCGCGAATACGCGGAGTCGAGTGTTGCCTGCAAGGTGAGATTGCATCTCCAAAATTTATCCTGGACGGTGTGTTCTCTTCACCCCAGACTGTGTGACTTTGTTGCCCAATCATCATCCTCATCGAAGCCCATTGGTTCGCATGGCACACTTCCATGAATCCGTTCATAGCGAAAGGTGTTCTGAGATCTATGAATCGCGCAATGTATCCTTGACCATTCTCCAAAGCCTTGCCACTTAGTGTACCTAGTCGCACGGATAGATCCACGGGTGGCGAACGAGCGACGCAAACCATGTGGTAGAGCTGGAGATCGTGACCAACACGCAGTACTTACCCAATGTAGCAGCGGCGGGTAGCCCGGACTCTTCGCTGGTGTCGGACATTATGCGGTCATTGTCTGGGCCTTCTTCGCGTCGCCTAAGCATTGTAGTCATCCTCTTTCGATTAAACATTTGGGTGGACTCGTCTAAAAGCTAGGCGTGTATGTAGCCCATACTAGTATTCGAGGTTTAATGCGTTAGGTCTGGTTGTACATAGTATATGCTGGGTCGTGTAAGCAAGCCGTATTTCTCTCATCAAACCATTTACTTAGTGAAGGGTCAAGCACCCAAAGTAGTGGATGCTGCTACATAGTGTACTCTGTAGGCGAGTTGGGCAATCCTTCGACCGTCCTCCTTCGGGAAGGACGGAGAAAGCGTTCGGGGCTCCCCGCCAAGAACCAAGCGAACAAAAGCTGACATCGGACAGTCAGCAACTCACCAGCCCTCCGGGACATTTGGGCAATGGAACATTGAGCACCCGGCTCATTTCGATGCTTCGTATGACATTCAGCCCCAATAATTCCGCCAACCGTGCAGTCGTTTTGGTGCTTATATCTTCTATCGTTCGTCTGCTTCGTCTGATATCCATAGCCATTGTATATCCAGATATTGGGGTTGATCGTGCTGTCGCACCAGCATGTCACTGGATTAATCGTTGCTAAGGATGGTCAGAGGTGATGTCGATTGTCACTGCATTTATTGATTCTTCAAGTTTGGACCCTTTCAGGCTGTCGGTAGTCGTGCCGAGTATAACTCGCTGCGTATTTGACCTCGAGCTTCTATTCGTATATCTGTTGTTGGCCAAACCAATGTTTCACTGTTTCAATTCGACCTAATTGGTTCTTCCAGGCTGAAGGCGGCACGTTATTGGTTTAGACGTCATCGTTCGTGAAGCAGTGTCTCGATTTTATGGCCTTAGATCGCGCTTCGAGCTGTCGATCCCCTCTCCCTGACTATAAATCGACTTTCGAAGACGGAGCCTAACACCCTCCACTGAAATCCCTTAGGTAAGTAGCAACGACGGAGCATGGGCTAGAAACCGAACTTGTTAGCGACCATTTATAGACCTTACCGGATGTCGGATAACGATGATCGACCTATAGAGGCACCATATGTCCACCCTCATGATGAGTCGTGTGCCATGCATAGTCTCAACTAGGTTCCTGATATGCATTGGGCGTTGGTGGTAATTCTTGAGGGTTTCCCAGGTGAATGATTACTGGGATTCATGGTGAGTGGGTGGCATCCTCGAAGCCGCATGCTCTTTGATTCATATCTCATTGCTGAGTATATCTGTTCACCGGCTCAAGCAGTAGTAATACAATCCTCGTCATTGAATATGTCGGAATGCGTTGCACGACAATCGATTGTGTTAATTGGAGACCGACAACAAGGTCTCTAGATGATTGATGATTTAGCCACAGAACGCGACTCCCATTAAGATCGCTATTCCAGCATCTCCTTCCTTCCTCCCAATATTTTCGATATTACTATCCGCTCTGTGAGGTGGCTGTTGACTATGTTGAAAGGCCAGTTATCATCGTCGATGATTCTCGTTTGACAAGTCGGATGTGAGCTTGCTTGCGGTCTTAGATAATGTAGCTCTTAGACTCGTGATGTTACTGCATTTCCTATGTTCTCCCTTGTTCGTATCGTCTTGTGACTTCATGACTTCATAACCTATACAGACCCTCAAGGCATGATATATATTCGGCGCATGATCGTTGGAGGAGAATGCAGTTCACCAACTGCTGGTGTGCGTGCGGTGGTAAAGTAAAGTCACATAATTACATATCTGGCGGCGGCAACGATAGTATTATATCGAGAGGACGAATATGATATTTGGCATTCGAAGTAATGCGAAGATTGATGCTCGTTAGCCTCACTACTTATATGTATAAGAAAAGAAGAAGACAGAGAGGCGCGACAGTCCTAGAGGATTTCACGTACACTACCTTATTTTAAGACAAATGAAATACCTTTGTGCTAGCACTACCTATATCAAATAATGAATGTCCATCCAGGTAGCCATCCAGGTGCCATCCAGGTTCGTGAGAGCTGTTATTGGCTTCCTATTTGATTTCATGGGAGCGGCTGGACGAGTGGAGTCAGCCCAAGCCTGATGCTGCATCGAAGCGAACCAAACAAAGCTGGATACCATCCCTGTTGATATACATATAAGGTAAACTCATAGTAGCTATACCAGATGCAAGTTGTCAGCTGTGTAGATATGTATTACTACAGTATGTGCGGGTAATCCCGCCCCACGGCTTGGTCTTACCACTGAAAGTTCAGGTCCGAAAGATCGAATTACATACAGTTTTCTTGCTATATAAGAGTAAAATGATTGTACTTAAACCTACTAAGCACCGAAATCTACCTACCGATCAACATCTTCTCATGAAATACACAGGTTCTCTATCTATGCGTAGGTTGTATGCGTAAAAGGGTAGGTGGTTGGGTAGAGGGTGGATACATACACCCACTGTTGCTTATCTCTCTCTCGTCCTATCTGTAAGATGTGAACACTAATATTAGCTGCCTCGGTTTCTGATCTTGATATTGTCTACAAGCTAAATCAATTTGAGAAAAAAAAGCAATCAAGTACAGAATAACAAGTAAATAAAATTCAAAATTAATTCTCGACGGGACATGGCAAAACACTGGACGAACGGGGAATTGAACCCCGGACCCCTCCCAGTCACCTAATTCTGAACAATTCAGAACGTGCGAAGGGAGTATCATACCCCTAGACCATTCGCCCGAATGACGTGTTATCATAATAAAGCTGACGATAGACCTCATATATAAATAGCAAGTAGACTATCCTAGATAGCACACTTTTTAGCCACTGTAGATAGCATACCTCCCACTAAAACTAGCTGTAGGCACACACTGTATTTTACATGGTTGCAGCACGTTACACAGTAATGCGTTTGTTCTATTCTCAAGCGGTTTACAGTGTGTATAATTAAATGAGCCACGGTATTTTCGAATGCTGCCACGTACGACCAGAATTGTTTGCAGGGCATAGCTCCACTTATACTACCAAGTCCTCGACCTGAAATCTCACTTCTTGTTAATGACAAGCTGCTATCTTAGTCGGGTACGAACAACCTGGCGGGTGGTTTAAATATACGCATAGTCTCTCTTTTAACCAGTTCATGCGAGCAAGACTGCTATCGCCAATGCTGCCTCGATGGCACCTGATAGCGGCACACGGTTGACGGGCGTTTGGTGAGCTTTACTCAAGCCCCTTTTCTCTCTAGTCCTACGATAATAGGATAGCAAGGCGAACGACCAAGCTAACTGAGGATAAGTTTCTTAACTTCGTTTGTCTGGCTATTATATTCTTTCCAAAGACACACTTTGATCAGTCAGTGTCTATTCAACTTCCGCGGTTTAGAGTAGAGTAGTTGCTAATTGGGGTACTTAGATCAGCCACGTCTCTCATCCTTCTTACTACTCCTTGTTGTTGGCTTATCGGCTTTTGCCGTGAGTCTCTTTTCAAAATGGCTCCCCGGCGCCGATGGGAGGTTTGGTTAGCTCAATCGTCCTCATTCATTTGAAGGCAATGAATGATAACGCTCTCAATAGACTCCGATGCTATTTTAAAGTCGTCGTCGTCTTCGTTGCCTCCGAGACCACGCCGGTTTTACGTACCATGTATTGTAGTCTTGGTCGTCGTTAGACTCGAGCTTTTTTATAGAGGTTTGCATGATTTCCAATGCTCTATTGCTGGTATCGAAGTAAGTACTCTGCTGTTAAGCTAGATAATCTCGCAACTAAATTCCGTTGAACAGGCATTTCTACCGGTGCTGTTCGGTGCTTATAGGTTTTTCTCGTATCGTCCACCACAGATAGAGTCAGATGAGCCTGAAGATATGTGGGGGAGCGTGCTAGATGATTTAAAAGAGTGGCTCATGGGCTCGCCCTTCATGTTGCTTGCTGGGACTGTTCTCCTCAGCTACGGATCCTTCTGGGCTGGCAACTCGACCATGCGATCTACGTACTTCTGTTCACCTTTAGCAGACCGAGGATCGCTCGTGGTATTTACCCAATGGGCTGGCGTTTTCGCGGATTCAATTATCATTATCCTTTTATGGAGAGTGCTCGCCTGGGCGCGAACAACTAGAAGTCGGTTGCGGACCCTTGGCGGCATTTTGTTGATCACAGCATTTGCAACATGTATTCCGTTAATACTCACGCAGACTTCACAGCGTAGCGAGGTTGTCGGGCACCAATCCCTTAGAGGCGTCAACCCTTTATACATCTTCGATACCTTAAGCACCGGTATAGCTGTAGCTACTTTGGCTATATCTGCATCCCTAATGGCATGCGAAGCATCACCATTCGAGCCTATCACTATCGCGACATTTATATCCGGGGTGGTAGCTAGTGTTGGTAACACGCTGCGTGTCGGCACATACCAGCAAACATCCGCAGCAGAGCCGCTCCTCGTATTGGGGGCAATTTCACTTGGCTTTACCATTTTTACGTATACCAACAATATGCGCTCAGTCATTTTCATAAAACGCGTATTCCTTTTATTATTGCTCCTCAGTATAATAGTTTCCTCAAGCGTCTACATCACCCTGAGACCAAAATTGTTTACTCGTCATCCTGTTGATGATCTTGTCTACAAGAATCGGGTAGAAGCAGATCGATGGCTGCGGCATGCAACAGTTAGCACAACCCTGAAGCTCGCAGTCAAGGAATATGGAGAAAGACACCACGGGCGGAAACCTCCGCAAAACTTCGACAGGTGGTTTGAGTTCGCTCAGCACAAAAGATCGGTTGTCATTGATAGGTTTGATCAGATCGAGAAAGATATATTACCATTCTGGGGTTTACGGCCACAAAATATTCGAGACGGCCTTAAGTTCCTCAAAGGCCAGCCTAATATTGGCATCATCAGCATTGCTGATGGCAAAGTAGCTCACAATAACCCATCTGACCCTTCACAACAGGAAACACTAGACGAGATAGTGGCATTGATCTCTGGATTTGTTGAGCATCTCCCAGTGATGGAGATCGCCATCAATTTGCAAGAACGGCCAAGGGTTCTAGTTCCCTGGAATGAGATGCACCAATTAAGGATGATAGCTACCCAACCAGGTTTTCAACTTATGCCCGGCAGACTCGGTAAACGAGACGATTCAGATATCTCAGCAAAGGAGAATGAGAATATCAGAGCCAGTAAGCGAATAAGGCCTGCAGATTCAGTTCAGCCATATATTGCAGCCCATCAATTCCGACAGCTTGAGGCTATCACCTGCCCTCCCGGAGCATCGAGCCGCAGTGGGGTCAATTGGGATGTAAGAGACTTCTGTGCATTATGCACCTCACCACACAGCAGGGAGCAATTCCTTGAAAATTGGCAAATGGCACTCGACTCATGCCACCAGCCCGATATCTTCAACCTTCATGAGTTCCACACCATTCCCCATCAATTCGAACTATACCAGAATTTGTTGCCCCTCTTTAGTGGGTCGAAAACAGCTGGTTTCAACGATCTTCTGATTCCATTCCCACGGGGCGGGCAGGAGCAGGATTTCGACAGCAAAAGCTTTAACCAAAAGCAAGACCTTATTCTATGGCAGGGAGACGTTAAAGATATCCCGACGGTAACCCACGAGTTGCTTCATGGCAGTCACCGATTGCGTTTGGTTCACCTCATTCAGAATGCCACTGCTACGGACAGCATCCCCATGTTGTTGGGAATCGGAGCGGGTCAAAATAGTAGGTTTCGGTACGAAGATGTGCCTACCCCCGAAGGCAATAGCATTTTACCTTTGAGAGTCTCGTTGATTGGCCCTTCCGAGGGCTGCCAGGACACTAACTGTAAACTCATACGAGATGAGTTTGGATTGGAGCCCCCAGCCACCGAGGTGGATAGTCGTTATGTGATGTTACTTGACACTAGCGACGGACCAGCACCGAACTTACTACAGGTTCTCCGGTCAAACAGCGTGCCGGTCATCTCTTCGATATTTCAGCAATGGTTTACTGAACGGCTAATGCCTTGGGTGCATTTCATCCCCATTGATATAAGGTATCATGCCTTGCATAGCACAATGTCATACTTCATTGGCTTGGATGGCCGTGGCACACTTAATGGACGAAAACAGGTCACGCCACCACGAACGGAGGATGCGAAGTGGATCGCCCAGCAAGGCCGTAAATGGGCCGAAAAGGCGATGAGGAAAGAAGATATGGAAGTTTATTTATTTAGGTTGTTACTGGAATGGGGACGGGTAATTGACGATAATCGGGACGACATAGGCTTTGTATTAAAAGGATAGGCACAACAATTTAAAACTTGCAAGGGGTTAGGTATTTATTATTGTAAGAATAGTATACTATTTATTTGTTATAGTTATAGAAACATAGTACTAGTATGCGTGACATGATTATAGAAGGATTATACATAGTAAGATACATTGGTGATAAAGTTGCCTCAGGATTCAATGTCCGTGCACATTATATCATACATAAATTTATGTACATATTCGTTGCATTAATGCATATTCTGTATATATGTGTAGCGCCTGCTAGCTGGCTATACAGAGGCGTGACGTAGGTGCAGAGTATGCTGCCGTAATAGGTACTTACCTAAGGTAGGCAGCTCTATTCCCAGCATGCATGCCACTCGTGGATGAGGCTATGGTGAGCACTTCCCCACCAACCTCTAACGAACAGAACGCCCAAACAAATTTCATTGCTTAACCCCCATGGATTAGCCAGTCACTCATGTGGCCCTTTATGAACGCAGGATACAATTACAGTTATCGTTTCTGAAGATACAGCGATACAACTCGATCGCGACACGGCTGAGGAATAACTCGCACGAGCACCAGCACGAACTCGCTGCGGCTTCCGGACCTCGCCCACAATGGCCATCATCGACCAGGACAACTTCTCCAACATCTCGTGGCAGATCGAGACAGACAATGGCGTCGACGCTGCTCGGCCAAGTGCGCCTATGCCGAACATAGATGCCGAGCCACCCAGCAGCGAGGATCAACGCCATGGCCAAGACCTACAACGCCAGGATCCCGGCCTGTCCGGCGACATTCTCGAGTGCACTGTTTCGGAGCCTCACAAGGAGAGCGACGGCACCAAGGACGCCTTTGTGTCGTACCTAATAACTTCAAATGTATGTGCGTGTATTTGGAGCCGTTACCGTTGCAGCTGCAGCTGCGGGAGACGCGCATCATCTCATCTCATCTCACTTCGCCTCACCACTCCTCACCTCACCACTAACTTGCTATCTATCTACGCAGTCAACCTTCCCTTCCTTCCAGAAACCGACTTTCACCTCCCGCCGACGCTTTACCGACTTTCTCTTCCTTGCCAAGACACTGTCCAAGGACTATCCGGCATGTGCCGTCCCCCCGCTGCCCGATAAACAGCGCATGGAGTATGTCCGAGGGGATCGATTTGGGCCCGACTTCACAAACCGCCGGGCATATTCACTGCAGCGCTTCCTAACACGCATAACACTCCATCCCATTCTACGACGGGCCCCAATTCTCCACACTTTCCTAGAGTCCCCTGACTGGAATGCTACAATGAGGTCTCGCGCCGGGAGGACAAACGTTGCTGCCGATCAAGGGAGCAGTGGTGTATTCGACAACTTTGCCGATACCTTCATCAACGCTTTTACAAAAGTACATAAGCATGATAAACGGTTTATTGAGGTACGAGAGAAGAGCGACAAGCTAGACGAGGATCTCGCCCAGGTAGAAAAGGTTGTCGCCC